CATTTTGGGGGAGAAAAGAGGAAAAAAAAAAAAAAAAGGAGCAAAAGTCACCCTGTGAGTGTAAGGCTGGGGTGGGGGGAGGGAAGGGCTGCACCCATGGGTGCTGCAGGTGCTCAGATCAACTTCCAGCTGAGAGAGGTAAAAAAACCTGACTCAAGGAGGCGTCAGTTTTGTCAGAAAAAGCCCAGTTTTTGGGGAGAAAACGGTCCAAAAGAGGCAAAGTCACCCCTTAAAAGAAAGGCTGGAGGGAGGGAAGGGCTGCACCCATGGGTGCTGCGGGAAAGTGTTGCACCCGTGGGTGCTGCGGGTGCTCATATCAACCTTTCAGCTGAGGGATGTTAAAACAAACAACCCAAGGAGGTGTCAGTTTTGTCAGGAAAAAAAAAATAATAATTGGGGGGAGAAAAGAGGCAAAAAGAGGCAAAGTCACCCCGTGAGTGTAAGGCTGGTGTGGGGAGAGGGAGGGGCTGCACCCATGGGTGCTGTGGGTGCTCAGATCCGCTTCGAGCTGAGGGACGTAAAAAAACGACTCAAGGAGGCATCAGTTTTGTCAGAAAAAGCCCCGTTTTGGGGAGAAAAGAGTCAAAACGAGGCAAAAGTCACCCCTTAAACATAAGGCTGAGGTGGAGGGAGGGAGGGGCCGCACCCATGGGTGCTGCAGGCGCTCACATCATCTTTCAGCCATGGAACATATAAAACCAACTCAATGAGTCTGCAATTTCAGCAGAAAAAGCCCCATTTTGGGGAGAAAAAGCGCAAAAAGAGGAAAAGTCACCCCTTCGAAGAAAGGCCGGGGGGAGGGAGGGGCCGCACCCATGGGTGCTGTGGGCACTCACATCACCTTTCAGCTGAGGGACGTAGAAAATCGATGCAAGGAGGTGTCAGTTTTGTCAGAAAAAGCCCCTTTTGGGGGAGAAAAGAGGCAAAAAGAGACAAAGTCACCCCGTGAGTCTAAGGCTGGTGTGGGGAGAGGGAGGGGCTGCACCCATGGGTGCTGCAGGTGCTCAGATCAACTTCCAGCTGAGGAACATGTAAAACCAACTCACCAAGGCCTCAATTTCAGCAGAAAAAGCCCAATTTTGGGGAGAAAAGAGGCAAAAAGAGGTAAAGTCAGCCCTTCGATGAAAGGCTGGGGGGTAGGGAAGGGTGGCACCCATGGGTGCTGCAGGCGCTCACATCATCTTCCAGCTGAGAGACGTATAAAAACAACTCAACAAGGTGTCATTTTCAGCAGAAAATGCCCCATTTTGGGGCGAAAAGAGGCAAAAAGAGGCAAAGTCACCCCTTTGAAGAAAGGCCGGGGGGAGGGAGGGGCTGCACCCATGGGTGCTGTGGGCGCTCACATCACCTTCCAGCTGCGGGACGTAAAAAAAAAGACTCAAGGAGGCATCAGTTTTGTCAGAAAAAAGCCCCGTTTTGGGGAGAAAAGAGGCAAAAAGAGGCCAAAGTCACCCCTTAAACATAAGGCTGAGGTGGAGGGAGAGGGAGGGGCAGCACCCACGGGTGCTGCGGGCGCTCACATCACCTTACAGCAGCGCTGCTTGGCCGCCGGCGTCTCCTCGGCCGGCGCCGTCAGTTTGAGCAGGGGGGGGTCACCGGTGCCGCCGGTTCCGGCGATTTGGGGGATGGTTGCCACGGGGTTCCCGGCCCCGGGGGTGTCCTCGGGGCGCGGGCGCTGGAGTTTGGCGGCCGCCCGGTGCCGTTTGAGGTCGGCCAAGGTGTGGTGGGATTTGTCCCGGGGGGGGTCCGTGGCGGAGGAGGCACCAGCGCCGTGTTTTTTGGTATAAAGAGCCGCGCCGTTGCGTTGTGGCGGCGGTTCGGGGGGATCCGGTGATTCGGTGGGATCCTACCGCAGGGTGAAAATTAAAAAAAAAAAGAAACACATGTCATGGCAACGCCGGGAGGAGAAAAGCGGGGGGGATCCTCACCCAAACCCCCGGGGACTGACGGGGAAGCGGCGGCGCAGGTCGGCGTCCGTCTGCCGGTCCTCGTCCTCGCTGTCGCGGCGCTCGGCGCGTTGCCAGACGATGGCTTCCCGCTCATGCTCCTTCCGGTACAAATTTTTTTTTTTTTTTTTTTAATTAATTTTGAACCGGCGCGGCGGTGAAAAAATAAATTTGGGGTGTCCTCACCCGCGGCTGCCGGCGCTGGAGGTGCGCCGTTGGAGCAGGGATTTGTGTTTGTCGTGGGATTTCATGACGGCGTCGTGTTTGTGTTTCAGTTCCAGAAGTTTGGCTCGAATCTCCTCGTCGCCACAGACGTCTGCGCCGGGGCCAGAGGTGTCACCGCGGTGAAAGGGAGGTGGAGCGGGGGGGAGAAGACATTAAACCCCGCGGCAGCGTTTGGCAGAAATGAGAATTGACCCAAGAAAATAAAACAAAATAAAAAAATTAACCGGCAAAACTCACCCAAGGGGGTCTCGTCCAGCACTGATTTGCTGTTGAGGTCGGCGCCGTGAGCCACCAGCAGCTCCACCAGCGGCACCTGAGCGGGCAGAGGGACGTGCAGGGGGTGAGGGGAGGCAAGAATCTAGTAAAGGTGGCAAGAAGCTGGCTGGGGCGTCAAAAAGCTGGTAATGGTGGCAAAAATTTGGCAAGGGTGGCAAGAACCTGGTAAGGGTGGCAAGAATCCGTCAGGGGCGGAAAGAATTTGGTAAGGGTGGCAAGAATCTGATACAGGTGGCAAGAACCTGGCAGGGGCGGCAAAAATCCAGCAGGGGCAGCAAAAATCTGGTAAGAGAATCTGGCAGCGGCAGCAAGAAGCTGGCAGGGGCGGCAAGAATATGGTAAGGGTGGCAAAAATCTGGCAGTGGTGGCAAGAAGCTAGTAATGGTGGCAAAAATTTGTCAAGGGTAGCAAGAATCTAGCAGCAGCACCAAGAATCCGGCACGGGTGGCAGAAATCTGGCAGAGGCAGCAAGAATTTGGTAAGTGTGGCAACAATCTGGTGGGGGTGGCAAGAATCTGGCAGGGGTGGAAAAATCTGGTAGGGGGTGGCAAGAATCTGGCAGGGGTGACAAAAAGCTGGTAAGGGTGGCAAATATTTGGCAAGTGTGGCAAGAATCTGATGGGGGTGGCAAGAACTTGGTAAGGATGGCAAAAATCTGGCAGGGGCAGAAAGAATCTGTCAGGGATGGCAAGAATCTGAAACGAGTGGCAAAAATCTGGCAGGGGCGGCAAGAATTTGGTAAGGCTGGCAAAAATCTGGCAGTGGTGGCAAGAATCTGGCAGGGGCAGCAAGAAGCTAGTAATGGTGGCAAAAATTTGTCAAGGGTGGCAAGAATCTGGCAGCAGCACCAAGAATCCGTCATGGGTGGCAAAAATCTAGCAGGGGCAGCAAAAATTTGGTAAGGGTGGCAAGAACTTGGCAGGGGCAGGAAAATCTGGTAAAGGTGGCAAGAATCTGGCAGAGGTGGCAAGAAACGGGTAAGGGCAGCAAAAATTTGGCAGGGGTAGCAAAAATGTGGCAGGGGGTGCTGCCTGCACCCACCTGTCCCCAGCAAGCGGCGGCGTGCAGCGGCTCCCAGCCGTCCTCGTCCTTGGCGGCGACGCCGGCACGGTGCTCCAGCAGCAGCTCGGCCGCCTCGGTGTAACCGTTGGCCGCCGCGATGTGCAGCTGCCGGGGACGGGGAGACGGTTGGGGACAGCTCCGGTGGCGTTGTCACCCCCTTCCTCCCCAAAATGGCATCCCCCGCCCCCCCTGCCTGTCTCTGCCCGTCCTACCAACGTGGCGCCGTGACCCCGCGGCGCGTCCAAATCGGCTCCCGCCTGCACCAGCTGCCGGATCTCCCGCACCATGTCGCGCTCCGTGGCGGCACGAGCCTCCTCGATCTTCTCCTGAGTGATCCCTAACGGGGAGGGGACACACACAAGAGGTGACAGTGGAAAGGGGACGCCCCGGGGTCCTGCCACATCCCTGCCTTCAGCCGGTAACGCTCACCCTGCTCCGCCATGGCCGTTTCGATGCAATCGAGGGTCACCTCGTCCTCGCAGAGGTCGTAGGGCATGTTCCCGTCCGAGTTGACAGCCAAAAGGTTGGCGCCGCTGTTTTAAGGAAAAAAAAATAAGGAATCAGGACCAACCCGTGGCACCCCGGGGCCTCCTTTTACCCGCTGTGGTACCGTCGGATGAGGAGCTGGACAAGGCGGAGGTGGCCGCAGGTGGCGGCGGCATGAAGCGGCGTCCAGAGTTCGCTGTCGCGGGCATTGACGTCGGCACCGGCTTCCAGCAGCACCGTCACCACGTCACCGTAATCATCTATGCAGCACTGGGGGGAAAAAAAAACACCGGCGGCGGTTATAGGGAGGCACCAAAATGGGGGAAAACCCCTTTTTTTGCAAGCGCCGGGGTCACTGTTCGATCCACAACGCGGTGTCACCGGAAGGAACCGGGTAAAAGCGGCGTTACCTGGTGCAGCGCGGTGAGACCGTCCTCGTTGCAGAGGTCGGGGCTGACGCCGCTCTGAAGGAACTGCCGGACTGCGGGGGCCAAAAATAGTGGAAAAATAAAATTAAAAAAAAAAAAATTAACCAGGGTCACAACTTGGAGCATCCCCCCCGTGTTATATTTTCACTGGAGCGTCAGGATCCCGCCGCACCGCAGACACTGTCACTCGTGTTGATGGAGGCTGGTTCATTTTGGGGGAAATTTGGAGGTAAAATAAGGATTTACGTCACGGGTTTAACCCCCAAACAGGGTGATTTTGGGAGTCGGGGGGTTGAAGGCTTCCCAAAGCCCCGAAAGCAGCATCTCTGCCGTGCCCAGCGGTGTCCCTCACCTTCCTCCGCATCGTGCCGGGCGGCTGCCTCCAGTAGCTGGACACTGGCAGGGAACGTCACCCTCTTCCCTTGGCTGTTGCTCTTCCTCCTCCTCCTCTTCCTCTCAGCTCCGCTCTTCATCCCCTGCATCTCCTTTTCCGTCTGTGCCCATTTTTTCAGCTGCTGGGCCCGGCGTTTCTGAGCGTGTTTCAGCCGTTCCGGCGTGCTCAGCCGCGCCACCGCCGGCATCTCTGCCACCAGCTCCGGGTGCTCGGCCATGGCGAGGGGTTTTGCCGGAAAACGGGGCGAATCCCACCGGGAATGGGGTACGGAGCCACCGGCTCCCTCACCAGCATCACCCGCGGCCCCTCAGAACGGGGAGGGGGGCGGCTTATCCCTGTATCCCGGCGCTTTCCCAGAGCTTCACCGCAGGCTCGAGAGACAGGAATCGGCGTTTCGGTACCATTTCCCCCTCCCCGGGTGCTCCCTGCCCTGGCTTTAAGCACCCAAAATCCCCCAAAATGGGGTCTGTGGGTCCCGCTAAGCCTCAGCAGGGGGCAATCCCTGGCAACTTGGGGCAGAGTCACTCAGCGACAGCGGATCCAAAGGCACGGAGGAGCAAAGCTGGAGAAATCCCCTCAGTCCAATCCCAAACGCATGTTTGTCCACTAATTATCCCAACGAGCTTTTGCTTTCCCGTCCTCCGGAAGCATTTGTCGGTCATTCAGCTCTGATCTCACAGAAGAATCGATCATCCAGCTCGGAAAGTTCCCAGGACACTGGCGGCTTCTCGGGATAACACCGCGCCGGGGCTGCGGATTCTGCCGGGATGAGCTTGGCGTGGCGAGGCGAATCCTACGGGGAAAACCGGCAAGAAATCATGAAGGGAGAGGGAGAGGCTCGGTAAGAGCCGCCCCGTGCCTAACCCACCGCTGGTTTTGCCGTTAATCCAGGATTAACCTACAATCCAAAAAGAAGCAAATTCCCGCAGGCCTATCGCCGAAACGCCGGTAACCTTGAGGGGTCACCCCCCCCCCAGGGCCTCACCGGGAGGAATCACCGATTCTCCACCGGTTGAGAGGATCCCCGGCACGTCCCGGTGAGAATCGCTTCGCCGGGAGTTGCCGGTTGGGCACGGTTAAACCGGGAGAACCACAGCCCAGCGCCTCGCCCCGAAGTCGGCAT